GACCCAGATGTCCAAGTACGCCATGCCCAGCTCCACCCCGCTCTACCACAATGCCATCAAGACCATCGCCACCTCAGACGACGAGCTGCTGCCCGACCGGCCCCTGCTGCCCCCCCCCACCACCACCACAGGGCTCTGGGCCAGGTGCGAGGACAGGCCGGGGCCCCAGGGAGGCCAGTTGGTGTGGGCACTGGGATCAGGTAGCACAGCTGTGGTTGTGCTGACTTTTTTGTGCTTCTGAAGGCCCTGGGCATGGGGGTGGAGGCTCCGGGATGCTGTTCCCACTCACTGGAGTCATTAGTGAAATGCAGCCCAGAGCACTTGAGTGGTCTTTCCAACACCTGGTGGTGTCTGGCGACCTGAGCCAGAACTTGGTCTCTTGGCTTCTAGCTTCAGTGCCTCCAGTCCCTTCCCTCCCAGCCAGGGGAAGCCAGTGGTGAAAACTCCGACCCCTGGCACCACCTGGCTTGGGAGTGGGGAAGGCCTGAGCCCTGCACCCTCCCTGAGCTGGGCGCACCGTGCCTGACCCCCTGTCTTTATTCCCTACAGGGATCAGCAACAGCCAGCCCAGCCAGATGCACCTGAACTCAGCCGCTGCCCAGAGCCCCATGGGCATGAACCTGCCAGGCCAGCAGCCCCTGTCCCATGAGCCCCCGCCCGCCATGCTGCCCTCCCCCACCCCTCTGGGCTCCAACATTCCACTGCATCCCAACCCACAGGGGACAGGAGGGCCCCCTCAAAACTCCATGATGATGGCCCCAGGGGGCCCCGACTCCCTGAATGCCCCATGTGGCCCGGTGCCCAGCTCCTCCCAGATGATGCCCTTCCCCCCTCGACTGCAGCAGCCACATGGTGCCATGGCCCCCACTGGGGGTGGGGGCGGGGGGCCTGGCCTGCAGCAGCACTACCCGTCAGGCATGCCCCTGCCTCCCGAGGACCTGCCCAACCAGCCGCCAGGCCCCATGCCTCCCCAGCAGCACTTGATGGGCAAAGCCATGGCTGGGCGCATGGGCGACACATACCCACCGGGTGTGCTCCCTGGGGTGGCATCAGTGCTGAACGACCCCGAGCTGAGCGAGGTGATCCGGCCCACCCCAACGGGGATCCCCGAGTTCGACTTGTCGAGGATCATCCCCTCTGAGAAGCCAAGCAGCACCCTCCAGTACTTCCCCAAGAGCGAGAACCAGCCCCCCAAGGCTCAGCCCCCCAATCTGCATCTCATGAACCTGCAGAACATGATGGCGGAGCAGACTCCCTCTCGGCCTCCCAACCTCCCAGGCCAGCAGGGCGTCCAGCGGGGGCTCAACATGTCCATGTGCCACCCCGGACAGATGTCCTTGCTGGGCAGGACAGGCGTGCCCCCACAGCAGGGGATGGTGCCCCATGCCCTGCACCAGGGGGTCATGTCCCCTCCACAAGGCCTCATGACCCAGCAGAATTTCATGCTGATGAAGCAGCGGGGCGTGGGGGGCGAGGTCTACAGCCAGCCGCCCCACATGCTCTCCCCGCAGGGCTCCCTCATGGGCCCCCCGCCCCAGCAGAACCTCATGGTGTCCCACCCGCTTCGGCAGCGCAGTGTGTCCCTGGACAGCCAGATGGGCTACCTCCCGGCGCCAGGCGGCATGGCCAACCTGCCCTTCTAGAAGTCGCTGCTGGGGCTGGAGCCGGGGCAATGTTGCAAATATGATAACCTTAACAAAGTTCTTCCCCTCAATGTTGGGATGGCCTGGGTCGAGGGGTGGGGTGGAGGGGGTGGGGGGGAGCTTGCGTAGGGAGTGGCATTTGTGGAAACCAGATGTGCTGGCAGCTTAGGGGGATGTGGCAGAGTGGGGTGGGGGGATTTTGGATTGGGGTTGGTTCCATTTTGGCCACCAGGACTGCCCCTCCCCCACTCCTCCCAATTCCTATAGAGCCTCACTATTTTACCTCTTTCCCTGCATCCCTACACCCGCCACACCCCCTTCAGCTATGCTTTTGGAGTCCTGGATAGGATCTGGGGGCAGAGAGGAAGGACAGGTCAGGTCTCCCCCAGCCCCTTCTGCTCTTGTCTCCTCATGTCCACATTGCTGGAGCTCCACCTCCCTCTTCGTTTCTCTGCACCCGCCCATTTTCCTTCTGTCTTTACCTGCTTCGTATCCTTTCCCTGCTGATGTGGCTGACCCCTCTCCCACCCCTCCCTGCAGGCGGCTGGCCAGGTGGGCAGGTGCCAGCCGGAGCTGTAAATAGAGCGCTGCGCTTTTGTGCTGGTTTGTGCGTGTGCTGTATTTCTGTGTTTTGATAGAAGTCACACAAAAAAAAAAGGATAAAAGAAACCCTTCCCCCTTCTTCAAGTTATTGCCCTCTCCATTCCCCTGGACCCAGGACGTGCGGCCCTACATGGCCACCCACTGTTTGCAGTGTCTCTGAGTCCCTAAGGGATACCATTCCTGTCCCCTTCCCAAATGGTAAAATGACGTAAATGCCCCACTCCTAAACTGAGGTCAGACCACCTAGGCTTCCACCTGGTGAGCCCTAGCAGGGCTGAGACCCCCAGGGCGGCAGCCTGTCTGCTGCTGAGTGATTCGGGGAGAACACGTGTGCACACGCACACATGTTTGCCCACACCGGTAACAAGGGGCCCTGGCTTCCCACTTTCGATGCCTGGGTGTCCCCCGCTGCTACATCTTAGCCAGAACTTGAAGTCTTTTGTCCCAGTTTGGGATGAAGGAAAGGAGGAAGAGGCGGTGGCTGTGTGGCTCCCTTGAGTGGAGCCATGGAAGGTGTAGCATGGTGCCATTGGGGCCTGTGGCTGCAGTAGCCATGGGCCAGGTAACCTCCAGGGCCCTGACTTCCAGAGGCTGCTGCCACCTACTTCTTATCAAAGAAGGGGGAGAACAGTTATGTGAGTCAGTGCACCTCCCCTCCAGTCTCCACCCCCTGAGGATGGAATCGGGGAAACAGCATCCTGCCGCCTCCTTTCTGCCTGCCCACTCACCGGCAAGGTTGTCCCTCTGCCCAGGGCTCAGGGCCACGTACCAGATCTGTCTGTGCCCACCCAGGCACAGCCACTGCCTCCCCCTAGGCTCCCTGCTCCTCCCCAGGAGAGCTCCCCATCCGCCTTTGGTCAGAGCTGAAGCCATATACGACTGGGTGTTTGTCCCCTACTTTGGCCCCAGGAGTAAACTTCTCCTTTTCTCACTTCCTTTCCTGCCTCGGGAGGTGGCAGGGCAGTTCCCTGGCTGAGGCCTTTTGCGCCCCGCCTCCAGGGCCAAGGGCCATTCTAGACAGGGTGTCTTCTACCAGGACCAGTCCCTAGCCTTCCTGGCCTGGAGGGCCTGGTCTCGCACTGGCAGCTGTAATACAAAGGGAACTTGCCCCACTTCTCCCAGCCTGGTGCTGTCCTCTCGGCCCACCATCGGCCAGGTCCAGCGCTTCCTCTGGGGCTGACAACAGGCCCCTGACTCCCCCCGGCCACCTCCCAGAGGCCATGGCCAGGGCCTCTGTGTTTGGGGAGGTCACTTGCCCTTCATCCTGCCAGGCGCTTTGCCCGCCCTGCCTCAGCCTGGGCCCTGTGCCCTTGAGCCCTCCACCCCTGACCCAAGACCCCCAAAACTGTCTGACTCTGTGTTTCCTGCCCTGAGGAGAGAGGGGTCAGATCGCAGCGGGCCGAGTGCCCTCTCCGTCCCCTCTCCTCCCACCCGTGCCACAGGCCAGCCTACTCTTCCCTCCATCCATGGCCATACCCCTAGCCATTTTGTACCATTATATAAATATATATATAAATATAAATATATAAATACAATATGTGAAGACATCTTCTTGGTTTTTATTTTGAAACAATTTTTAGGCTTGTTCCGGGGGTCTCTGTGCTGCCTGTACTGTATTGACCTGTTTTATAGGTGCCTTTTTATTAAAAAGAAAATTCAAAATCCAGCCTCTTGCCTCTTTGCCTCTGCTTCAGACTCCTCTGTCAATTAGATTACCCAGCTTGCTAGGAGATAGTCAGAGAAAAAAGGCCCGTCCCAGGTCTTCCTTGTTGTTCCCCCGTGAAGACACTCTCCCCTCAGCCACAGCTGTTATTTCCCCAATGGGGCCTCCCAAGGAGCTTGGCTGCTTGACTTGGTGGGACAAGTGCAGGGGTCCCTGACTCCCTACCCGATCAAAGGCTGGGGAGGTGGGAGGGAGTGCCCAGAACTGTGGGAGGGAGGTGGGAGGGAGTGCCTCCCACACCCCAGGTGAGCAAACAAGCACGGAGCAGCTTCCTGCGGTTCCATCTGAGTGACATCCTCACAGGGGCAGGGCACGGCTTCCTGGGGCCTGGGGACTTCCCTGCCCCAGTGTGTTTCTTACACTTCCCTGCCTAAGGTGATGCCACGGAGGGGATGGTTGAGATGACTCCCACAGGCCCCTTCCAGTCCACCTTTCTCCATTCGGACTCTGAGTTTCCTCAGGTCTGTAGTTTGTGGGAAGGGAGTGAGGAGGGGACAAGCCAGGCTCCTTCCCCATCAGTGCCCACAACCTCCCATCCCCTGGACCCGGCCACCCTAGGAGTTCTCCACCGCACTCCATCTCACCTAGTGGAGGGGACCACCGAGTTTCACTGATCCATGTCCCTCCTTGGGGTTGGGGAAGAAAGCTCTTTTCTTTCCTCTGTCGGGTTTCTCTCTTGCTTCTTAGTCTTTGCACTTTCTCAGGTCACTGGCTGCTCTCCAAGGGCACCTAGAGACGGCCCTGCCTGCAAACCACCCAGGACCCAGTGACATGGGGAGGACCAAGCACTGTTTCAGTCCGAGCCAGTGGCAGCTACCTGAATTCAACCAGTCCAAGCTTCCTGCTTGGTCAAAATGGCTGCAGGCTTGGGGGCTTGGTGGAATGTCTGTGTTTTTAGGAACTGAGTTGTCCGAAGGCCACACTCTGCTGCCAGCTGGCCTTTCCTCAGCCTTAACCTCCACTCATCCCCTGGTGCTCAGCTTCTCCTGGCCTTGTGGACAGGTGGGTAGGAGGGGAGAGGGGATTGGCTTCTCCTGGCCTTGCGGACAGGTGGGTAGGAGGGGAGAGGGGGAACTGTGGAGGTCAGCAGCCCTAAGCTGATGGAGTGTGTTCTGGGAGGGACAGGCGCTCTCCGTCGGCAAGGGCAGAAGTAGAAGTTGTTTCCGGAGCGTTGGATGATTAGGATGGGAGGTACCTGAGGTTCTCTCAGCCCAAGAGGGTGCAGATGGGTAGAGACAGGCTTCACTGTGCCTTCGAGCTGCTTTCCGCTCCCTGGGCTCCAGTTGAGTCCCAGGGCTGGCAGAAGAGCTGGCAGGGATGTCCTAGAAATGGGGGTTGGTTCCTCTAGCTACCCCAGCTAGGACACTCTAAGCCACCGTGAGCCCTTAGGATCCCAGCTCCTGTTGGAGGGAGCATCCAGCATCACTGCGTGCCCCAAGGAAAAGCAGCAATAAAGGGGGACACTGGGACCTAGAACGTGGTGAGAGAGGTGGCATTCTCTGACTCAGAGAGACTGCTCTTGCGCCAGCTAGGGAAGAGCTGGCACAGGGAGGCAGGGCCGGTACAGCCCAGCTTGGTCAGGAGCCGCGAGAGGTCACTGCGGAACTTCACGCCGGCGAAAGTGTAGAGCATGGGGTTGAGGCAGCAGTGGGCCAGGCCCAGGAACTCACACATGGTGATGGCCACGGGGAGAGAGCCATTTAGCTCGCAGGTATTGTCCACAGCCTTCAGCCTCACCAGGGTGTCCAGGAAGATGACGATGTGGTAGGGTGACCAGCAGAGGAAAAAGATGCTCGTCACTAGGATGGCCACCCTGACTGCCTTCTGCCGCTGAGGGCGCCGCTGGGCCTGGCGCAACCTGTGCACTACCCCCACGTAGCACCAGCCCATCACCAGCATGGGCAGCAGGAATCCCGCCACGTGGTAGAGGAATCGGGAGGTGAACCAGGCATGCGTTTCGGCTTGGTTCTCTTGGGAGAAGGTGCAACGTGGCAGGGAGTTGTTGGGATGGGCTTGGCTGACTTTGGCGAAGAGAATCTCTGGCAAGGCAAAGAGGAAGCCCACCAGCCAGATGGTCCCGCAGGTGATGTGGATGGAGAGGAGGCGGCGGTGGCGGTAGGCGTGGACGGCATGGACAATGGCCAGGTAGCGGTCCACGGCGATGCAGGCCAGGAGCAGGCTGCTGCAGTAGAAGTTGACTTTGTGCAAGGCAATCACAGTTTTGCAGAGGAAGGTCCCCAGGACCCAGCCCACAGAGCCCTCGGCCACGGCAAAGGGCAAGATGAAGACCAGCAGGAGGTCGGCCACGGCCAGGTGGAACAGGAAGGTCTCCGTGGAGCTGCGTGTCTGCCGGTGCCGCTCCAGGATCACCAGCACCAGGACGTTGCCGATCACGCCCAGGAGGAAGATGAGGCTGTAGGCCACGGGCACGAACACAGCCTTGAAGGAGGCCATGAGGGGCCCCTCTGTGGCAGGGCAGAGGTGATTTTCCACCAGGGAGGTGTCGTTATAGTTGTCGAATTTGTCAAATTCCAAGAACTGCAAGGGCAAGGAGACGGGAGGGTGAGGACCTGTCTTTCCTCTCCGAGAGGAACCCTAGCTCTCTTGGAGGTTTTTCCTACATAGGCTCCACTGACCAAATGTCAAGTTTCAAATTTCAATTTTGAACAAATCACTTTGTGTTTTCCAACTTCAGTTTTTTGCCTGTCAAAGGGATCGCATTCCTTAGAGTGGTGGTGCAGATGAAGGGAGGTGTGCAGGCGGCCATGCTTTGTAAGTGCTGAGGGGCTGGGCCCCATAAGTCAGCTTGTGTTTTGGGGTCCTCATGTACAGAAGCCTGCAGCCTTGGGGGCTGGAGTCAATTTGGGGAATGGACCTGGTTGGTACAAGGACCCGTCTGTTTCAGTTCCGAGCAGAACAGTCGGGCACTGCAACTTAGCATCGTGCTGGGGGCTGGGGGCGGGCGGGTGCTGACGTGGCCTGCGGCTCCCTCCTCATGGGTCTCACTGTTCCTGACCGTCTCCGTTATCACTGAAATGGCAGTAATAGCCTCCCATCTGGTTCAATATGCACAACCCGCTCAAGGTATGTAATAGTATTCCTATTTCACAGATGTGTCTTGCTAAAGATCAGGTTTGTGTGAACTGACATTTATCTACTTCCAAAGCCAATACTTTCCACTGAACAACCCTGCCTGGGCTTCCTTCTAGGGGCAGCAGATGCAGGTTCCCTGCTACTTCCCATCACTGGCAACCTCCCTGCAGCTAGGAGCACTCAGAAGCAGAAAGCCCAGAGGCAGAGAGAGGCAGGAGAAAGTGAGGGTGACACGGGGAGACTGGCAGGAGAGAAGGAGAGAGCCTACTCCAAGTGCAGGGGGCGTGCCCGTGATGTCTCCGGAAGTTCCCTCCTCCCCATCCTCCTCTTCCTCTCCCCATCACCCCACCTCCATCACCCCAGCACTCAGGTTGTTTACCCAGCTAACCACAAAGGAAGACATGTGCCTGTTTTCACACCTTTCACTCACAGCTGTCCCCTGCACCTGTTCCTCCTCACCTCCCAGCTCTGTTCTTCCCACCCTCCCTACCCAAGCCCCTCCCCAGGCAATTCAAAATCAATTACAACCAACCTATGTGGGTTCAAAAAGGCAATACTATAAATGATGAGCCCCAGGGAGGCAGAGGATAGGATGGGGTACCCTGTCCACCAGGCTCTGGGTGGCTTAATGCTGCTCCCATTTTAGGAGAGCAAGGCCCCCTGACAAGGAGGGGGTGGTCACACTGGGCGCCACAGGGCTTTCTTGCCTCTCAGGAGCCACAGTTGTGGGTCATACACTCACTCCTAATGCTGAGCAGACCCATTCCCCAACCTGGGTCTTTCCTTCTGGCTCGGGGGGAATGGGGCTCTGTGAGAAGCAGGTGTGGGAGATACATCAGTGCAAGGGCAGAGCCATCTGCCAACTCTTCCCACAGCATCCCTGTGCCATTGCCTCAGTCTAGTCTTCCTTCTCTTCACGCTAACGCTCAGGAGACCATCTCTCCATGGGTCCCGTCTCCACCAGCTTCTCTACTCCTGTCCACGTCCTGCACAGAGGACGGGGTGCGTTTTCTAAAACACAAATCCCACTGCCTCATTGTTCTGCTTAAAGTCCTTTACCGGTTCCCCATCAACTATAAGCAGTGGTTTTCTTTTGTTTTTTGTCTTTTTTTTTTTTTTTCTATTTCACTGTTTTTTTTTTTTGTTTTTTTTTTTTGAGGTGGATTTTTGCTCTTGTTGCCCAGGCTGGAGTGCAGTGGCACGATCTTGGCTCACTGCAACCTCTGCCTCCTGGGTTCAAGCAATTCTCCTGCCTCAGCCTCCCGAGTAGTTGGGATTCCAGGCATCTGCCACCACACCCAGGTAATTTTTTTGTATTTTTAGTGGAGACAGGGTTTCACCATGTTGGCCAGGCTGGTCTCGAATTCCTGACCTCAAGTGATCCACTCACCTCGGCCTCCCAAAGTGCTGGGATTACAGGTATGAGCTACCGTACCAGGTCTCAATGTCACATTTAATAACAAAGTCAACTATAAGAAAAAGTCATATTTGTGATAATGTTCGTCAGTAGAAGATTGACTGGAGTCTGGGCATGGTGGCTCAGGCCTGTAATTCCATCACTTTGGGAGGACAAGGCAGAAGGATCACTTGAGCCAAGGAATTTCGGACTGCAGTGAACTATGATCATGCCACTACACTCCAGCCTGGGTAACAGACCAAGACCTAGTCTCAAAAAAAAGAGTAGAGTAAGCCAAACTTAGTGCCATTCACACATTGCTAAATTTCAGAACTGCTGGGCACAGTGGCTCCCAGCACTTTGGGAGGCTTAGGTGGGAGGATTGCTTGAAACCAGGAGTTCAAGACCAGCCTGCACAACATAACGAGACCTCAACTCTACAAAACACTTTTTTTAAAAAATAAAGTTTAGAACTAATTGCAGAACATCCCATGCAGTAGGATTCCATGGAATTTCTCTCCCAAACACACACCTTTGTTTTTGTTTTTTGATAGATAGTGTCTTGCTATGTTGCCCAGGCTGGAGTGCAGTGGCTATTAATAGGTGTGATCATAGCACACTACACCTCGACCTCCTGGGCCCAAGTGATCCTCCTCCTGCCTCAGCCTCCTGTGTAGCTGGGACTGCAGGTATGTGACAACAGCGCCCAGCTCCAAGGACTTTCTTTAGAGTACCCATGACTGTGTGTGTGTGTCACAGGGTTCCCCTGGGGTGGGGAGTGGTGGTGTGGCTCCAGGCTCCCCTCCTTGACTTTAAACTATAACCCTCCACTTTTGACTTGTGTAGTGCTTCACACATAAGCTTTTGTTGAAGAAAATGGTTCTACTTTCATTTGAAAACCATGGACCTGTGGGATGAAGTCTAACCTCCCCAACAGAGCCTTTGTGTTCCTCCCAAATGTATATTCCTCTGACCTTTCAAACTTTGTCTTCTATTTTTTTTTTTTTTTTTTTGGAGACGGAGTCTCACTGTGTCCCCCAGGCTGGAGTGCAGTGGCGCGACCTCGGCTCACTGCAAGCTTCACCTCCCGGGTTCACGCCATTCTCCTGCCTCAGCCTCCTGAGTAGCTGGGACTACAGGCGCCCACTACCGCGCCCGGCTAATTTTTTGTATTTTTAGTAGAGACGGGGTTTCACCGTGGTCTTGATCTCCTGACCTTGTGATCCGCCCGCCTCGGCCTCCCAAAGTGCTGGGATTACAGGCGTGAGCCACCGCGCCCAGCCTTTGTCTTCTATTAATATATTATCGCTCTAGGTCACCCCTTGGCCTTTCCCTACCAGCCCAACACATTCCTGTCTCCAAACCTCTGCTTGACCTTTTCCTTCTGCCTAGCAGGTCTTTCTTTCCAAATTGGCCTATCTAATTTCTACCCTTCCTCCAAAGCCGAATTCAATCCCATCTTCCCACATCCTTGCCGGCTCCCCTCTTGGAATTCTCTCTTCTCCTTATGATGCATGTGCATTTATTATAGCACCCAGGGTTGGGATGACCACTTTCTAACCAGATGGCAAAGGTCTTAGAAGCAGGCCTTCTGTGTCCCCCTCCCAAGGTCATGTGTTTTACATAGGACAGATGTGTGCTGACCTGCTCTGAAAGCAGTTTCCCAGAGAAGGCCAGGAGCCCTGATAATCTGAGACTTAGGCTAGTGTGTCAGCAGGGACTCACTCCATCACCTTCTGCATTCTGCCTTCTCCCAATAACCTTGACCTCCTGGATCCTAGATCCTATCTTGACTGCTCTCTCTCTATTGGGAGCTATTTCCAGTATTGTCATTGAGCACACCCACTTGACTAATACTGGAATTCAGCAGTCTTCACGCAGAGCCAAGCCATTCATGCAGAGGGAGGAGAGCAGCAGGGCCCGGGGCGGTCAGCAGGGCTGAACTCCACCTACCTTGGCTGTGCCTGGGTGAGGGCTTAGGTCCAACCAGCCTATCTGACCCAGAAAGCCCTGGGTTTCTGTCCCTAGGGCTCCCATCTCCTGAGAACCAGATGTAGAGGGGGTTGGGAGGGGCCTGTCTCTTCCTCCTTGCCAAGAGGTATTTGTTTGGCAGCGTCAGAGAGAGGAAGATGGGAGGAAGCTGGTTTGAGGGGTGCTGGGAACTGACGGCACATCTCAGCAGGAGGTGTCAAACAGACGTTTTGGGGGTTCAGGAGTGGCACATGTTAAAGCCACTTCCCACACATAGGAGTTCTAGCTCCCCCAATCTCCCCCAAACTATGGAGAGAGGCAATAAAGCAAGGTTGGCTCTGTCCTCATGGGAAGTTGAGGAGTCAGGAATCCTGAATACTGTGGGGCATGTGGTGCTGAAGGAAGCCCTCCAATCCCATGCCCAGAGGGAGCATAGGGCGGCCTGTTTGTGTGAGCGGTGTACCCATTCTTTGACATGAAAAGCTGCAGAAACCCAAGGCCCTCATGCACACACGTACTCTGACAGCAACACCCACCTTGCATAGACACAGGTCCCAAGATGGGCCACACCAGCGTGTGGCATAGACAGGCACCCAGCAGACAACAGCCTGGTCATAGGCCAGGGCCACATGCCCCAAAGGCGGCAAGAAACACAATGACCAGAATGAGGCTGAGTGGAGCTAGAATCTAGTTAGAAAATTGCTGTGAGCACTGGGGAGGAGCAGGGGCTGTAACAGTGTCCAGTATTGAGGGGCTTAGGGGAAGGTGCGGGGTATAAAGAGATGCAAAGTACTTGGCCTGTGGTAGGGCCCAAAACGTTACTCTTCTCCTTCCCTCCACTGTAGGATGCAGGCTCCTCCCTGGATAATTAAGTTTCCAAGCCCCAACTCACTTCTCCAAATAAAGAAGCTGCCCCACTGCCCAGCACTGACCAGCATGAAGCTCAGCTCACATTTGCTAATGGGGATTCTATGTCAGCAGGTACATTGGGCAGGGGTGTCTAGCATGCCTCAGGGATCTATCCTGGGTCCCCTCCTCTTCAGCACTCTCAACCCAGCTTTGGGGGCACTCTCAGGCAACACAGAGTTCTTTACAAGCTGGAACCATGGGCCCAACCTAACGAGATGAAATTGCGTGGGGAAAAATATACAAGCCAGGACTCAGGTTTAAAACTTTACCCATCCAGGGATAAGTTAGGGAAGACCAGGTAACAACAGTTCGTGAGAAACACTTGGGAGTTTGTTGCCTACAAGCTTAAGATGAGTCATGGGAGTGACGTGGCCAGCAGAAGGGCCACTGTTACCTTCATCTGTTCATCTAGAACAGATGAAGTGGGCAGCTGACACCAGCCCAGTTTGGTTGGTCTGGACAAGGATGACCACTTTGTTGAGGGGCTTGGAGAACCCTGCCCGTGGAGGAAGTTTTCAGGTACCAGGGGTGTAGTGTCTGGGACAGAAAAGACTTGAGTCCATGAGGGCTGATGTCACGGATTGGAAAGAAGCTCCATGGGCAAGAGGGCAGCAATGGACCCTTGCTGTGGGCTTCCAGGGGCAGTCCAGAAGGACTGGGCAGAAGCTGAGGGGGTAGAGTTTCAGTCAAAGGCGGGAGAACTTTCTAACAGGCAGAACTGTCCAGCAATGAGATGGGACCCTTGGGAAGGAGAGGAACGTTTGAGCCCAAGTGTGCGGGAAGAGATTCCTGCCCTGGGAAGAAGGAGGCTGGACTCTGCCTTCAGATGCCCCTCACTCTCACTCCCAGATTTTCTGTCTGTCCTGCCCTGCCTGGGGCTGAGCTGGTTCTCAGCGTGATCTCTGTCTAGCTCAGTAGCTGGAGACTTTGCTTTTCTAGTCCATTCTGCCACCAGTGAATGCCCCAGCCTGACCTTACTTCTCAGCCCCAAGGAGGGGGCAGGGCTGCCTGCGTGCGTGGCTCACTCAGGCCGAACCCCAGGACTCCAAGGCCTGAGTCATGCTGGCCACGGGAGGTGTCTGCACACAGACGCCAGTCATTGCTCTGGCCACGGGGAGCATGCAAGCTCCATCTCCTTTTATGTCCCTGTGTGGATATTCCCAGCTGAGAGTCAGGAGCTGTGAGTGGAGCCGGCCAGGGTATCTGTCATTCCAGCCTTCGGTGGCTTAAGGGGTGCAGGGGTCTGGAGGAATGAGACTGGGCTATGGGTGAGGGTGTAGGTCTGTATCCCTTAGCCTGTCTTTCTTCAGGAGGCCCACAGCCCTTAAAGACCATCTGAGACTCTGGCTTGCCATTTGTCACATCTCCCTTGCTACACCCATAGCCTTCAGGGACAAGCCTGTGAGACTCCTCTTCCATCTCTTCCCACGGGTTTTGGTCATTAGAAGCAGGTACTGCGCTGGATGTGGTTTTAGGGGGAGAGTTTAAGCTACTCCAAGCCTCTGCAGCAAGTCTTGAGGCTTAAAGGGGCCCCACCTGGCACCCCAGCATCTCTTTGCCCTTTGGATACAGGGTCACACAATCCAAGGTGCAGATAGACAGGCCTCCCAGGTATGTGTGGCAGCCTCTTGAAACCATCTCCTGGGCTGGAAATATTTTGCCCCACCACTCTTGAAAGAAGGCTCATTCTTGTGTCCTGATTCTCAGGTCCACATACACGGCCACTGTTGATGCCGTTCTGCTAGAGGAGTGGGATCAGCTGCAGACTGCATCCCTGGGGAAGGCAAGAGTTCCTGACCAGACTCTGCAGTCTGTATGCCTGAACCCAGATTCACTTTGACCCTGACCCATCCTCAGCCTGGCCTTGGGGCTCTCCCTCATGTCTGACCCCTCCAACCACACCCCCAGTTGGGCCTGCTCTGCTGGGGTTGCTCTGGGACTTTTCATCTGATTGGGGGGGGGGGCGGGTGGAGAACCTCCCTTCCCCCAAGAAACAGCCTGAGCTAGTTTTGGTTCCTCTTCTTCACACCTCCGTGATGAAATGAGATGGTCCACGTGGACGGGCTGTGTAGCCTGTGATGCTCTAGTCACACTGAAGTCATGATGTGTGGTAATTATCTATGGAGAGGGGTCATAGAAAGCCAGGCTCTGGGGCTTGGGCCAGCTTCACCCTGTGCTATAGCAGCTTCCCTTCCTGGTTGGTGTGCAGGGTGGGGCTGGAGGTATAGTTTATGACCAGCCTCTGTGGGTGCCCCAGCCCAGGCCCTGGTTCTATTGGAAGGAGGCTCTCAGATCAAGGTTCGCATAGACAGGGGCTGCTCTAGGTCTGCCTGGATCTGCCTTTCCAGCAGAATGGGTCCCTGGCATGCCCACCCCAGGACCTGGAATCTTCTGGTTCCTGGCTCTCAGTCATCTAATTTTTTTTTCTATTTGGACCATTCATTCTTGAGAATTAGCAGCCCCTCGACACCTCCCGGCCCCTGCCTTAAAGAAGTGGACATTTTAAGCGGCTAAAGTTGGTCTTCGAGTTCAACAGGACAAATGGAATACAGAATGACCAACCTGGCTTATGGCCAGGAGCCCCCAGTTCCTTTTTTTTTTCCTGGCAAGTTTGTGTAGCTAAAAGTCCCCAGTTCTTAGCCCAACATTAGAGTGTAAAACCCAGTGTTCAAGGAATATGAACCAATACTTGGTATGGGCAAGGACAAGGAGGAGACTAGGAAGCAGAAGGAGTAGAAGAACCTGGACTAATTCCAGAGGAAAAATGGTGAGCTAAGAGCTTTACTGCATCACATTACAATAAGTAATCAATAAATACTTATTGAGAAGCTGCTACATGCAAGATTCTCCTGCCTGTACCACTATGCCCGGGGTTTTTGTACTGTGACACTGAGGGACAGTCTGCCAAGCTGCTCACAGCCCTTCAGTGAGTAGGTGGGGGTAGAGGAGAGGGTCTGTGTTCTGAGGAGACATTGGCCCTGGAGACAGGGTATGTAGGAGATTCGTGAAGGGAGAACGACGCACTGGTGGCTGGCTGAAGAACTCCAGAGCCCAGATGGTCCAGGACTCCGGACTCCTGGCTAGACCCTGAGTAAGGGATCCAGATATTTGAATGCCTGGCTGAGGATCACTCATTTGAGGTGTGACATGAAGCAAGTCACTAGGTCCCTTTCCCCCAGATGTAAGTTTTCTTGGGACATACCCTGCTGCCCCTGGCCCCTGCCACCACCTGTCTCTAGTAGGTCACTCAGTGAGGTGAGATGCACAGTTAAGGGAAACTCAAGGTTTCTCAGAAGCTGGGACCCGCCAGGTCTCCAGTCGGTTACTAAGAAATCCAACTGGGTCAGGGCTCGTGGTCAGTTTGAAGCTGCAGGCAGAGGAAGACGCCCAGTAACTAAATCAGGCAAGGCCAGCGGCCGTGACTGGGGACCAGGGTGGGAGCGCATTGCCCCTTTGGGGCTGCAGGTTTTTAGTCTGATTTGGGATATTGCCCAGACTCTGTGATTAGACTCAGGGCAGCTTCATAGGCATGCAATTGGTGCAGTCACACGGGGCCTGCACCCAGCAGGACCCCTGACTTGGTTTAGTGCTCTGCTGTTGCCTTCTTGATATTTTTAATAATTTTTCAATAAGGGGCCCCATGTTTTCATTTTGCACTAGATCCCACAAATTATGAAGCAGGTCTTGATTAGATGAATGGTCCGGCTCTGATTCTGCTTGCAGTTTGGAGCCGAGAGGCCAGGCTTTGGGTAGTTAGCCCTTCTGCTCACTTTCTCCCCGTGTCCTACTTACACTTCCCAGCCTTGAGATCTGGGCAAGCGGGAGGCAGGCTTCTCCCAGCAGGTCTGGGAACACGGTTGGCGGAACTACAAAGTCCACTCCAGCTGGGGGAGCAGGAGGGAGTCAGACAATATCTCAGGGTAAGTTTGGGCCAGGAGAGTTGGTAGGAGCCAGGGTTTGGCTCCTTCATGATCTAACCCAGAATGCAGTCCCAAGACAAGTCCTCTCCCCAGGGGGAGAAAAGACCGTGAAGAAGTTTCCAAGAAACCCTTACAACCAGCCTCTGCCGTCGGCTCACAAGGAACCCTGTGTTTCTCCGGTTGAGCTGCTCCACACGTACACCTTTTGGGAGCCCAGTGACGACCAGGTCAACTGCACCTCTACGCTTCACTGCAGAGACATGAGTGCTGGCAGTGTAGTGCTGGGGACCATTTTCTTAGCCCACCCAAGAAACCTTTCCAATAATACCTTATCTCTAGAGATTCTACAACAGGTTCCAAGACGTTTTTTCAGATTAACAGTTTTCTCACCCCGCTCCCCGACTCCAACCTGCTGGGATCCTCTTCCTTGCTACCATCTGTTCTCATACTTCTCAGTTTAGCACATAATTGTTGTCTAATAGCTTCCAGTGAGTGATTTTTTTTCTCTGGCCAGAGCAGAAGCTATTTGAGGGCAAAGACCAGATCCTCAACTTCTCCACCCAACACAGAATGTAGTGCCCTGATGATATAATCATATGGCAAGAGATGAACAGCTATGCATTGATTGACTGATGAGCAATGCCAGCCTCCTTATGGTAAGAAAACCTCCAAAGGTACTTTCCTGTCTAGTTCCATATTCCCACCCTAAGAGAAAAGGAGAGAAAGAATGGGGAAGTGAAGTATCCTGTTCCCGGTCACATAGCAACTCAGAGGAGGATGCAGAGCCTGAACCCACGTCTTCCAGCTTCCTCTAAAGGATGTCTACTAAGGACAGCAGCTCTCCTTATCTGCTTCTTCCACAGAATGGAAAATAAACTCTTAAAGGGCAGGAGCTGACTGACCTGTCTAGATTTTACAGATCCACAGCGGGAGAAGATTCCCACGCTGTCCCCTCTCTCTCAGACTCTGGCAGAGGATATTAGAATTCCAGGCAGGGCCTCGGCGACAGGAAGCTACCCGTGTCTACTCACCAGGTCCTCCAGGTTCTCGAGGTCCATTTCCAGCATTAGCGGGTAGTTCATGGCTGTGCCGGCTGTGAGTCACCAGACTGGTCACTGTCTGATGTTGAGAGGCTCCCCGCCAGGTGCCTCTAGAGAGGTGGCAGCCGTCAGCTGCAAATTTAAGCAAATGAGCTGCGCATCGTCTCCTGGGGCTGTAGGGCCGCGACCTGCCTCACAACTCATCACTTTTTTTTTTTTTTTTCCACTGGGTCTTTTCTGTTTTTTTGAAGAAAGAGGGAAAATCCCCCACAGCATCAGTGCTAGTCAAGCATTTCAGCTTCTTTCCCGGCAACAATTGTCTCAACTGGGGCCTATGACTAGTTTAAAGGCTGCCCTCACTTCTCCTCCCTATACCCCCAATAAGGGGCTCACAACTTGTAATGAAACCACCACACAAAGTCAGCAGACTGATGAGGGAAACTCCTGATCAACAGAGAACAGGAGAAGAGCGCTCCCAGCAACCTCTCCTCCAAGCCACCTCCAGACCTTCATCTTCCTCACCACTAGGGCGATCAACCATTCCAGTCTGCCCAGGACTGAAAAGTCCCTTGACTTGGGAAACCCCTAAGTCCTGGCAAATCAGGGCACTTGGTCAAACTACTTGCTACCATCCTTTTGCCCAACAGGGGCAAAACCCCTTCCCTTCTCAGCTCAAGTTCAGAAAAGATAGGTTAGAATTTTTCAAAGGGAACAACAGTAAAACAACACTGGAAGACAAAAATGAAATCAACTCTGGAAGGCCGAGGCAGGAGGACTGCTTGAAGCCAGGAGTTGGATACCAGCCTGGGCAACATAGCAAGACCCTGTCTCTAAAAGAAAAAAAAAAAAAGTGAAATCACCAAGAAAAGCATACAGTTACAGAGTCATTTTTTGACTCAAAAATAATGATGTTCTATCTATAAATTAACTTGGTTTGCTGATAAATTATTAATCTTATAGACTACCAGGCTAGAGAGGACTTCAGAGATCATCCAGTCTAACCCCCAATTTTTATGCAGGAGGTCCATGAGGCTGAGAGGGAGAGCAACTTACCCAAGATCCCACTGCTAACCAGTGGCAGAGCTGGGACTTGAACTCAGGTCTTCTGACTCCACCTTTAGTGTTTTCTCTACTCCAAGCTGCCACTCTTGCAGGCGCTCATAACCTCTGTCCTTTCCCTCAACTCTGCCCTGTCTGAGGGCCGTTTCCTTTAAGAAGCCCTTTTGTAGATGTTGATCAATTTCCCTTCCAAGTCTCATTTGTGGCTTTTTCTTCCAGAAGTGGGCATTTCCTCTCTTGGTCCACAATGTTATGAAAACAATGTCTGCACGCATAGCGGCACCCACACATGGTGGCTGTTTCTTGGCCTCACCCCCACCTTTGTATCATGCTCCCTTTCAACCAAATCGCCCTTCGCTGGGATCCTACCCTTTCCAGTGCTCTCCTTCACCCTCTCCTCCATATTCACCTTTCCTCTTTCCCCTCTTCACACCTTGCTTACTGAAGATGCTTACCTCACTGCATCCCCAACAGAGGTACCATTCGTTTTTTGGTTTTTTTTTTGAGACAGAGTTTTGCTCTTCTTGCCCAGGCTGGAGTGCAATGGCATGATCTTGGCTCACCGCAACCTCTGCCTCCCAGGTTCAAGCAATTATCCTGCCTCAGCCTCCTGAGCATCTGGGATTACAGGCATGCCCCACCACACCCGGCTAATTTTGTTTGTTTATTTATTTATTTATTTTGAGACAGAATTTTGCTCTTGTTGCCCAGGCTGGAGTGAAATGGCGCGATCTCAGCTCACCACAACCTCCACCTCCCGGGTTCAAGCAATTCTCCTGCCTCAGCCTCCCAAGTAGCTGGGATTACACCCCGGCTAATTTTGTATTTTTAGTAGAGACGGAGTTTCTCCATGTTGATCAGGCTGGTCTTGAACTCCTGACCTCAGGTGATCCGCCCACCTTGACCTCCCAAAGTGCTAGGATTACAGACGTGAGCCAACAGATGCATCATTCTTAGGTTTAAACAGCCTGAAGCGTTTCCAGCCTCTGTTGGTGGTATTGGGGTCGTTTCCTTGCTCTTCTCCATTCACTGCCTTTAGAAGCTGCTTTCAAGGAGGAAGGCTTTCAGGACAAGGCAACACACTTCTTCTCCAGCACTTTCAGTCCTGATACCTCCGGGAGGAAGCTGCCCCAAGGTTTCCTGTGTCCCAGGCTTGCTGGGAACTCCTCATCCTTCCATTCACCCTATTCTCAACATCCCTGCCCCTCCAATCCCTCAGCATACTCGACTTAGCCTTGGCCACCCCGGCTAGGGACATTGATCAGGAAGGAGTACAGCCTATAGAATCACAGAGGAATTGAAAGGAACTTTGAAAGATAAACCAGACTATCCTCAACCACACCCCCACCCCCAGCAAATGCAAGATTCCTGTCACTGCATCCTTATCAGATGATCACCCAGCATCAATGAATACAAACATCAATGAAGGTGAGACATTTGCTCCTTTCAATAGATCATGTTTCAATGGAGAATGGTTTCATGATTAGAAACTTATTCCTCATGATGAGTCAAAATATGTCTTCCTGTAACTCCACCCCAGAGGTCCTGGCTGTCCCTTCTGTCTGGACTGTCTAACTCTTCTTCCAATAAGCATCCTCTGAAGACAGCCAGCACATCCCGAGAGTCTTCTTGTCTCCAAAACACACTTCCATAGTGTCTTCAGTCATTATTCGAAGACTTGGTTTCTGGGTCCTTTGACACCCTGTTTTTTTTTTTACCTCTGAATGATTTCTGGGACATAGATAAGTCATCCTTGGGTCTATCCAAGTTCTGATGGCAAATATTGACAGGATGAAGCCAAAATCAGGACTCTGCTTCATGTCATTAGAGACCCACTATACCCAAAGGTCAGGAAAGACTTCATGGAAGTCTTGGCCACTGGAGGCTTGGAGAGAGCGAAGGCTTGGTGTGCCTGGAGAGGCGGACAGGGTGGAGAGTGTGGGACATGATGAGAACTGCTTGGAAAAAATGTGTAGAAAGAATTCCCTGGCCGGGCATTGTGGCTCACGCCTGTAATCCCAGCACTTTGGGAGGCTGAGGCGGGTGGATCATGAGGTCAGAACAAGACCATCCTGGCTAACATGGTGAAACCCCATCTCTACTAAATATACAAAAAATTAGCCGGGCGTGGTGGCGGGCGCCTGTAGTCCCAGCTACTCAGGAGGCTGAGGCAGGAGAATGGCGTGAACCTAGGAGGCGGAGCTTGCAGTGAGCCGAGATTGCGCCACTGCACTCCAGCCTGGATGACAGAGCGAGACTCCATCTCAAAAAATAAATAAATAAATAAAATAAAATAGAGAGGCAGCTACTGTAGTCCCAGCTACTCAGGAGGCTGAGGCAGAAGAATCGCTTGAACCTGGGAGGTGGAGGTTGTAGTGAGCTGAGATGGTGCCACTGCACTCCAGCCTGGTGACAGAGTGAGACTCTGTCTCAAAAACACACAAACAGAAAGAACTACCTTGTGCTCGGCACATCATAGGCATTCTGTGTGCGGTGATGTGGCTGTGGCAATGGTGATGATGATGATGGTGATGACAGGGCAGGGGGAGGAGTGAGGAGGTGATTGAAGCATGTACTGGACAAGGTAGGAGCTGCTCTTATGGCCTTAGTGCAGTGGTACAATCAAGGCTCACTGCAGCCTCGACCTCCTGAGCTCAAGCCATCTTCCTGCCTCAGCCTCTCAAGTCGCTGGGACTACAGGCACACGCCACCTCACCTGGCTAATTTTATGTTTTTTGTCGAGACAGAGTTTCACCACGTTGCCCAGGCTGGTCTTGAACTCTTAGGCTCAACCGATACGCCTGCCTCAGACTCCCAAAGTGCTGGGATTATAGGCGTGAGCCACCATGCCCAGCAGCCATGAGTTCTAATATTGCCTTGAGAAGGCTCAGAGAGTTACTGCCTCTACTAGAAACCACGATCTTACAGTCTTCACACACAAAGCCAGACTAGCTCCCTAGGATAGAGAGGACAATGTCTAAGCTGTGATCCTTTGCCTTTGAAGGGGAGATGTCAGAGGTTCCACCTGTGTGTGACAATCAGATGGGAGAGGACCCTTCCAGGTCAAGCAGCCCAGGTTTTATTTCAGTTTGCAACTTGTTTATATTTCACCTATGCAGGATCCCAATCCCTACCCCATAGGCAGTCTGACTGAGGTTAAATTGTTTTCTAGGCTTCTCGTCAAAATGACCACTGGAGGCTGAGCCTGGTAGCTCACCTCTGTAATCCCAGCATTTTGGGAGGCCAAGCGGGGAGGATCACTTGAGCCCAGGAGTTTGAGACCAGCCTGGGCAACATAGGATACCCCATCTCTACAAAAACTAAAAATATTAGCTGCACACTAGTGGTTCCAGCTACTCAGGAGGTTGAGGTGGGAGGATTGCTTGTGCCTGGGAGGTCGAGGTTGCAGCGAGCTGAGATTGCACCACTGCACTCCAGCCTGGATGACAAAGCAAGATCCTATCTCAAAAAAAAAAAAAAGACAAAAAGACTACTGATGCATCTGCCAAAGACTGGGTTTGTGTCTGGTTTAGGCATGGGTGGCTGCTTACATCAGCCTAGGTGGATTTTTCTCAGTAATTATACTTTACAGTCCATGGATTACGTTGAATTTCTATTTGTTCCAGAGATTAGATGCAATCACTTGTCTTAGAGTTCATTTTCCATATTCCACAGAAAAAGTAAGCTGTGCCACACAGTTTTGGGGTGCTGCTGCGGGGAATGGGCTGGGATTTCCCCCTCTATTAACCTGGGACTCCCTCCCTTTCTGACCTTGCCAGAGACCTTGTTCTCTTCTTTCTCTAGGTCTTTCCTAACAGATGAGAACAGAGCTCTCAGGTCCCCAACTCATCAGCCTCAGGAAGAGTAGAGTATGCCTTTCAGCACTGAAGGAAACTCACCATAGCACTTGCATAACAGTCACCGGTCTACACAGTCCCATGAGAGTTTAAATTTGATGTTACTTAATCTTTATATTTCACTTAATCTTCACATTTAATTATATGTAGTCCTGGCTGGGCGCGGTGGCTCACGCCTGTAATCCCAGCACTTTGGGAGGCCGAGGCGGGCGGATCACAAGGTCAGGAGATCGAGACCATGGTGAAACCCCGTCTCTACTAAAAATACAAAAAAGTAGCCGGGCGTGGTGGCGGGCGCCTGT